GTTCCATACAGCCAGGGAGGCCTCACAATCATGGCAGAAGGCGAAAGGCACATCTTACATGGTGGCAGACAAGAGAGAATGAGAATGAAACAAAAGGGGTTTTCCCTTATAAAACCATCAGATCTCATGAGGCTTATTCACTACCATGAGAACAGTACTGGGGAAATTGCCCCCATGATTCAATGATCTCCCACCAGGTCCCTCCCACAACGGGTGGGAATTATGGGAGCTATAATTCAAAATGAGATTTGGGTGGGGACATCGCCAAACCATATCAAGCACCATCCAAACAAAACCAGGAAAAGCAAAATCACCCCAAACACAAAAGCCCAAAGTCAACCCAAGTCGCCAAACCAAAGGCTCAAGGAAAATAATGGTCAAAATCATTGACAGTGTCCTCCTCCTGAGATTTGCAATATTCAGAGGTACCCCCTGCCACCCACACTCATCATGGTTGGGGCATGGGGAAGCAGCAACTCCAGTCCTGGATGTTGCCACCTGGATGCCAGGAGTGACCTAGGACAGACAGCCCCTTGTGCTTTTTGATGACCACTCTCGCCCACCCCCAGCAAAGTTCATGGGAGGTTTTCTTTTGAAGAGAAAGCACCTGACCTTTCAGGACAGCAGTGAGCACCACTGCAGAGACCCCAGGGGCTCCTGTAGGTGTAGACCATCACCCACGGGACATCGCGTTCTGGGCCCCCGTGAGGTTTCCCTGAACTTGTTCAAGGTCAAGGAGAGAAGCAGGGCCCAGGCTCTAGCACTCACATGACACATTTGCCACTCAAGAATATGGCTTTGTCGGCCATTAGATGACATCTGTCTGTCATGGAATTATCCACAACACAGAGCGACTGCACCCAGATGTGGACAGCTCCCTTGGGTGCTGAGGTGCAGAATGTGGGAAGAGAACAGACAGCATCAGACACAAAGCATCAAACAGCGGGTCCCCTTGGGCTCTGCAGTAGAAACCGGAGACCTAGGACCATGTTGCCTCACGGGGGCCTCAGGCTCTAACTCCTTCTATCACAAAACACTGAGGCCCAAAGCAGAAAATTAAGTCAGTAACACAGGGGTTGGCTCTGAAGACCAGGCTCTTCACCTTTGTGGAAGGGATTGCAAACTCCAACACCCAAAGCGCCAGGCCCATCTACAGGGACAGACTCTGTTCAGCTCCAGTGACCCTGGCTGTGTGACAGCAGGGATCCAGGGGGCCTGAACTTTGACAACTGAAAAGAAACTGCACATCTGGATTTCTGTGAACACTCCTGATTTTTAAACATTGGCTTGCAAATTTTTTAGCCAGTACATTTAATGTCCCTGTGTTAAGTTACACCCAGTTTATAGGGGTGTTGCTCATGGCCAAGCTTCTGAACATTGACCTGGTGTTGTGGTGAACAATGTCCCTAGTGCAGGATCCCAGGTCTGTAGGGCTGGATGAGGCCTCGGGGTTGTCCCAGCCATCGCAAACTGCAGGTGACCCCACGTCCCAAAACAACGTGCTACTAGAGAGACGGCCTCTCTGGGAGCATCTGTAGGCAGCTAAATACTGTGTGTTAGCACGTCCCTTTCCAAGGGTTGTTTTTGACAATGAAGACGACAGATGACAATGATGGTGGCAGATGACAATGATGGTGACAGATGACAATGATGACAGATGACAATGACGATGACAGATGACAATGACGACAGATGACAATGATGGTGACAGATGACAATGATGACAGATGACAATGACGACAGATGACAATGACGACAGATGACAATGATGATGACAGATGATGGTGACAGATGATAACGACGACAGATGACGATGGTGACAGATGACGACGATGACGACAGATGACAATGATGGTGACAGATGACGATGATGGCGACAACGATGATGGTGAGAGTAACAGTGATGCTACAGTAGCAGCAGTAAACACTTTCCAAGTGCTCGGGTGTGGGTTAAGATGGAGATAACTCTTTCCTGGAGATCACTTAATTTAATTTTAGCGACCCTGGGAGGTCAGTGTGACTACTATCCTCATTTTACAGTTGATCAAACAGGATCAGAGAGGTTAAGTCACTTGCCCATGGCCCCACAGCTCAGTAAGGAGCTCAGGCATGTGTCTCAAACCCAGGTCACCTGATGTCAAAGATGTCCTCTGTTTGCAGTTATTTGGACCAGTTGTTTGACTTGTGTGCCAGCATCTCATCACGGACATGAGATCTCTGGGGGCTGCTTCCAGGGCTAAGTAAGCTAATGAATGTGCAGTCATTAGCAGAGCACTCTCCCCCACCCTGCATGCAGGCAGCCACCTGTGTTAGCTCTTGTTATCCCCGGCGTGATGACAAATGTCACTAACTGCTAATAAGCCAGCTGCATCCCTAAGGAATGGAATGGTCTTTCTTAAACCAGACTTGTGGCTCCGGCTTTAGACATTTTGGACATTCCTCTGTACTTTCTATACTTCTGTTTGCTATATTTTACTTTAAGTGAATTCACATTTATGTCTCTGTTTGTAAGAAAAAGCAAATCTCTGTAATTGCCCAAAATGAGAAGTCAGTACTTCTTGCCCTAATTATTTTCATTATTAATGTTTAAACACTTTCATTATTAATTAAATGTTAATAATGTTTTCTCATTGTCTGTCCACATGCCATTCATAAGAAGTCATCTCACAAACCCCAGGGGCACAAGACCCACACTGGGGAAGCCGGGAATGAGACAAGTCCCCGGGGAACCATGCACGTCTCCAGTCTCCCTGCCCCCGGGTCTTGCCAGGTCACCAGCAGAGTGCTTCCTACAAGGCAAATCCCATTGTCTCTCCATCCCTGGGGGTTCCAGCTGCCCTCAGGGAAAACCTGCCAGGCCAACTATCTCCAATCTGTGGGCTGTTTTTTATTTTAAATTTTTTTGAAACAGGGTCTGGTTCTGTCACCCAGACTGGAGCCGTGGTGTGATCACGGCTCACTACAGCCTTGACCTCCCGGTCAACCAAAAACAAAACACAAAACTTTTTTGTAGAGATGGGGTCATGCAATGCTGTCCAGGCTGACTTTGAACTCCTAGGTTCAAGTGATTCTCCTGTCTTGGCTTCCCAAAGTGCTGGAATGATAGGTGTGACCCACCTCACCAAGCCCTGGGTTGTTTTTAATCATTACAGTTCCACTGACAAGAGCCGCACCCTTTCACCATCGACGCTGCTTTTGTGCTATGAGGGTAGAGGCAAGTGACTGCGTCAGACACCTCCAGCCTGCAGCGCTGATGCTCTTTCCTCTCTGGCCCTTTACAGAAAAGGTGTGTGTTCCTGTCCCCTCTCTTTGCATGTTATGCCCCTCTCTGGGATGCTCTGCACCTCACTCTCTGCCTGACTGATTCCCACTCCTCCCTCAGGCCTCACTCAGGAGAGGGTCCTTGATACATATGTGTAATCTCAACAGACCCAGTCTGCTCTCAGGAACCCATCCCCACACCCAGCATCTGGAGAGAGAGCGAGACCCTGTGTCTGAGGTCAGAAGAGGGCGCTGAGGGGAGCAGGCACAGGCCCTGAGCTGAGCTACAGAAACCACTGCCAAGGAGAAGCGTGAGCCCCGGCGGGGGCTGGGAGCGGCAGCCCTGCCTCCCTCGGGGAGGCTCATGGGCCACACACAAGGGCTGGGCTGCGAGGACCACACCATGGCAGGAAGGCCAGGCTCTGCTCAGCCGTAAGAACCATGCCAGCCCCAAAGTCAGATACCTGGGGCACACAGAGACCTGTGTGTGTGGAGGGGGCCTCTGCGTGAGAGCTGGGACCCTCCAGGGGTCACAACTCTCAGACCCCAAATTCCAAGCCAGGTGAAACTGGAGAAACACAGCCACCCCCAAGGAGGGCCAAGCATGCCTCTAGGCAGGTGCCTGCTAGCGCTGCAGGGGTGCTGTGGACAAGCGGTCTGCGAGGCTGTGGGTGTCACCCTTCTGTGGCAGAAGGAAGTCCCAGGCATAGTGCACCCGCTCTGAAGCAGAGGCCTAGCAGGCTGTCCTGGGGCCTGGATTTCCAATTTCCCACACTCATGGAGAGGTGCGTTCACCTTCCCACCCCCAAACTGTGTGAGACGTGTTTATAGCCTGAAATTCTATGAGACAACAGGATTCCAAGTCCACAGTGAAGCTCCAAAAGAATTGCTCTGCCAGGTGGGAGAGGAGGAGGAGCTGGTGAAGCGCCTGCAGGTTTCTGTGGCCAGTTCCTGCTTTCCTCCCTTCTATCCTTCCTTCCTTCTCCCCTATCCTTGGGAGGTGCCCTGGTCTATCCAATTAAAATAAAAACCACCACCACCACCCAAAGCCCCTACTGCCTTCGATAGTAGTCGCTCTACACAGCAGACACTGTGCTAAGTTCCTTCCACCCTCCAAACAACCCTGATGTAGGTCCATTACTTTTCCCATTTAACAGAGGGAAACTGAGGCTTGGAGCAAAGCACCAAGCCCGCCTCCCCTCGAGAAGCAGCGGAAGAGCCCTGCACAGGCCGCAGCACGCTGAGCCTGCATCAGCACTGACCAGCTCCCAGGCATGCACACAAGCAGGGACTTAAGCATCTTTTAGGCCAAGAGGACCCCTGTGGCAGGATTTTGGCCACAGGAAAGTCCCTCAACCCCACATCCTACCCCTTTTCGGGTCACTAAAATCCCCCCACTGGGCACTTGCTCCTCCAGAGAGCACTTTCCTGCCTAGAAGCTCCCAGAGAATCCCAAAGATGCCCTGGGACAGGGGAAGGTGTGCCAGGGAGATGAACATCATTAAGTGCCTTCCCTTATTGGCTGTGCCAGACTTGGAAAGAGACAGTAGAGAAAAGTGCCCCAGCAAACCCTTCAACCCAGCCAGGCAGCACAGCATGGCAGCGCATCGAGCACGGGCCTGGCTCTCTTGAGAACAATGTTCTACGAGGGCCGTTGCCTAAGCTACAGCCAGGGACACCAGTAGGGACGTATGGCCATTCTAGGAGAAGCTCAACTTAGCGCGGCCTCCAGTCAGTACCTGCATCATCCAAGTGGGCGACTGAGGACAGTGGCTTGTCCAGGGAGACCTGGTCCGTCCCAGTGGCCAAGGGGCTTCCAGGCTGGGCGTCTTCTGAAGTCAGCATCTCTGACTTGGGAGTAGGCGGTTCACTCTGCACAGATCGGGGTCCTCCATCGGGGTTGCACGTTTTGCTTTCAGCATCTACAAGGAAATGCAGCTGTCAGCCAGGCCTGCGCCTCTCTTCCTTCATCCCTTCCATCATCCCAAAAGCCTTCCTGAGAAGCATCCATTCTAGGCTCTGGGTGGTTCCCCACCTCTCTCCCCCCACCACACACCAGGGGACAACAAACGGTGATTGCTGTAGACCTCTGAGATGCAGGGGTGGTTGTGGCTGCAGAAAACCAACTCACCTCTGCACCCACCACTCGACCCTCAGCCAGGCATTAAACAGATGTTTACTGATCACCCACTACGTGTCTGGCACTGTGATAGACCCTAGCAAGGTGGAGGTTAATAAGATACAGTCCTTGCCGCCAGGGGGCTCAGCTCACACTCTAAGGAAGCCACGCAGATGACCACACATGGTACTGTGAACCCAGAACGGGAGCACACCCATGGATGGAGGGGACACAGAGCTGGGGGTCCCTAGGTCTGACAGGCAGCCTTCCCAGAAGCGGAGGCACTGGCAGGGCATAAGGAAGGACTTGGTGCTTCCCCTCTTTTGAAGCTTGGCTGCTGCAGCCTCTGAGGGTCCAGCCCTTCACTTGTCATCCGTGGGGTTGCACCTTAATGGTGAGGGGCTCAGCACTCGGAGAGCAAAATAAATGGCCCAGTTACCCAACTGTAGGATGGCAGGGCCCTCGGCCAGCAAGTCACAGTCACGTCACTGAGATGCACGTTACAGCTCCATGCACAAAGCCCCCACATGGCCCTGCAGGACTCCTCTCAATCTCTACAGCGGTTCCTGGAGGCCTGGTGCAGAGGGCAGTGTGACCTGCACATGTTGACACAGCCATGAGGTGGCCATTTGGGGATGCCAGCCTGCCCTGACCTCCTTCCACATGCTTCCCATCCTGGCAGTGGAAGGAAGAGGCAACATTTACTTTAGGGTCGGGGTCCATAGAACCTGGTCAGTCCTCATTCCTACCTGCCATCCCTGTGTCCTTCAACAGTGTCCCTTTCACTCCTAAAAGTGTCCTGTTTGGACAACAGTATACAGTCACCCTATCATGTGTCCCACCACCTGCAAATGGCATTTTGGGCCCAAATAGCAAATTCCTCTGGATCTCAATTTCCTTACTTATAAAACGGGGATAATATTTCTGCTTGCTTCATGGCAACATTGCGAGAATTAATGGAGCTAAGGCATGGAATGAGTCTGGCATAAGGTGTGCACTTTACATATGCTTTCTGTCATGTTGTTGGTGATGGTTTCTGACCACGAGAAGAGGAGGGTGACAAGAGTGATCTGGCCCTTGGTCTGCACCTTTGGGCCCATCTGCTAACAGCAAGCTTAGGACAGAACCATTTCTCCCTCCACAGAGTCCTCACCACACCCAGGACTCACGCCAGACCCATTTCCTGCCTGGGGCCCTGGAAGAGATTTGAGCTGTCATCACTGCCGATCGGACTCCCTCTGCTGCGCATGTCTCCTCCGGGGAGAATGAAAAGGTCAGCCACGCCGGAAGTCTGGAGATTTGGGGCCGGACGATCTCATCCATGCAGACGCGTCAGTTGCCCAGAGGTCCAGGCGAGGCTGACAGGCTCTTCCCATAAGGCGCAGATGGCGAATGTGCCAGGCTCTGTGGGCCACGTGCCGTATGCCCCGTGCTGCAACTCTTCCTTGATTTTTTGTTTAATTTTTATGAAAGTCTTTCCTATTTAAAAAGCATTCTTAGCTCAAAGGCCACATAAAAACAGGTCCTGAGCCAGATTTGACCCTTACCTATAACAGCCCGCCAACCCAGATACAAGCCAAGAGAGCTCACCAAGTAGACAAAATCAGAGGTCACAAAGCTCAAAACTGAAATCAGCCCCTTCTCATGACTGGTTTCCTCGTACTTGACATGCAACTGTGACAGCACAGCTTACCTGGCCCCTGGCCACACACAGGGAATGTGAGAGCTGGCGTGAGGGAGCACAGGGCTCTACCAGCTTGAGCTTCACACCTACCCTGTGTGACAGGCAAGGCTGCCACCCACCACTGGCAGTTATGGACACCAAACCTTAGAATGCACAGGTCTTTTGCTGCCACGCCTGTCACTGCTGTTAATAAGGATGCTTCCATCATCAGCAGCAGTAGCAGCATCAAAATCATCACAACCACCACCATAAAAAGGTCAGAACATTGAACCTGGAAGGCCCAGAGGTCTCCAGACTCAAAAAAGCACCACACCCCTCCACAGCCTGAACCTTCCCCTGCTTTTGCAGCTGAGCAGCCCTTGCAGGACTTCTCTGGGCTGCGGTCAGAGCTCCAGCTCGTAATCATGTTCAATGAAAAGTTTCAGTTCCCAAAATAGCCCTGGTGGCAGGGCTGTTGCTAAGAAACGCGGGTTGGGGAGGGGTGGGGGGAGTGGTGGGAGCCCAGGCCCTGCTCCTCTGGCTGGAAGGTCAGCCTCCCTCGGCCACTCTCCTTCGAGGGCTGCAGAGGGAGCGCAGAGCAGTGCGCCTGAGCAGCCACAGTGAGAGGGAATGTGCTGCAGACATGCACACGCACTCAGATATGCATGCAGGCACACACGTGTACAGTCATGGCACATGTATGTGCACGGTGCAAGCACATGTGGGTGCATATGTGTGCACGTGCATGTGTGTGCACACATGCAGACATGTGTCCCCCGGCGTTCCTACCACATGGAAACCAGACAGACTTGATTTGTCACTGTCCAATTCCCTGAGGAAAGAATGCCTAGTCAATCTCAGGTCACTGAACACAGCAGAGTAACAAACTCTCTTCTTTTATACCCAATGACAGGGTAGGAAATTCCTTAAATTATTTAAGAAAATGCCAAGTCAACGCATACAGGGAGATGGAGGAAAGTCACTCAGAACATAAACAGTGTCTGGCACAGAGAAACGTGGGCTGGGCGAGGGGGCTGGGGAAGGGGACCCCTTGTGCTAGATTTGGTCTGGCCTCGCTTGGTCACGGATATCACAGAGGAGGACGGAAGGAGCACTGAAGACAGCAGAGGGGTCCCCTCTCCCCTCCCCGGGACACAACTGGCCCCACTGCACACATCTAGTAACGTAATAATGCCACCAGCAGGGTCCTTCCTAGGTCCAAGCTGATGACTGGAGTCACAGAACAGGAGGGGATGGGGTCGGAGTGGTTCATAAAACGGACCATCGATCATAAAATAACAGCCCAGGGGGAACAAACTCATGCCCTGGACGCTGCCTCAACCCCCGGTTGCTGGCGGGCTCTTTTCTGCTGGCCATTCCCGGAGGCCAGCTCCCTCCACCAGGCTGCCCACCTGCTTGAGGGCAAGCTCCAGGGTGTCCGACGTGCATGCACACGCGTGTCTGCATACGTGCGCGTGTGCAGGGCAGAGGGCAATCCTGGGGTTTGTACTAGCCAAGGAAGTTCAAATGTGAGTTTTGAGGGGGTTCAAATGAGGCTCCGGAGTCCCTGACAGTCCACTCGCGCAGCCTCACAGGGCCTGTCCCGCATGAAGTCCCGGCCACCTTGCAGGGAGGCTCCTGAGCCTGGCCGGCCACAGGGGGGCGCCCCCGGCTGCAGATGCGTCCCTGCCGGCGGTGGAAGGCGGTGGCTGAAGCTGGTTCCTTAACCCCAAAGCCAGGAAAGCGCTTCTGCTCCTCACCCCGAGAGTCCTCACACCCACAGCAGAGGCGGCACTGCGTACCTACCCCGGAGCGGCAGCCCTCACGCCAGGTCCAACCCTGAGCCGGAGAGGGCAGGTGCACAGCCACCGCCAACAATTCCAGTCATCCTGCAAGAGGGTCTGACCTCAGGTCGACCCAGTGAGAAAAGGCATTTTTGAAGCCAGTGCAGGACGGAAACCGCGGTGCAGGGAAGGATTTAGCCCGGAGCCTGTGGCCAGGCATCTGCGTGGATCCTGTTATTACTGCACGTTGATTACAGGTTGATTACAGGTGGCACGCAGTAAAGGATTCAAGCAGCACAGAAGAGTCGACTGTGAACAGCAAGTCCAAGTCCCCTCCCAGAGCAACCCCTGCTGCCCCGTCCCTGATATTTCCCTGCAGAGACACTCGGGCTCCTGGAAGACCCCACCCACTCGCGCTGTGGCTGCCCCAGCTCCCGCAGCAGCGTGGTTTATGCCTCTGCCACCCCAGCCGGTGTGTGGGCAGGGAAGATGGGAGGCGTCTTGACCCCAAGCCCCTCTCTCGCTTTCTCCTTTCCTCCAGCCCAACCCACCATCTCAAGGTCCCTTCCACTGCGGGGACTTGCTCTTGCTGCTCCTGGGGGCTGGAAGTCACTCCCTGCTTCCCTGTCTCTTGGCTTTTCAACCTTCCTGCATCAAAGTTGGAATCAGCTGTGGAGGATGAGGAAGCGCTGCTGCCTGGGTCCCACGCCCAGAGCATCTAATTTAACTGCTGCCTGAGCGGTGGAGGGTTTTTAAAGCTCTCCAGCTGATCCTAATATGTAACAAACTCTGAGAACCAGGCTAGGTCCTCCTGCCCACCTTTGGACCCCACTCAGACATCTCCCGGCACCGGAGGACCAGGTCAGGTCCTGTCTCGTGTTCTTAGGGTGCCATGTCCTTCACCACACTCATCGCCGTCGTGAGTAGCTGACTTTATGTGGGATTATCTAATGGTCCCACTGGATGTGCGTTCAGAACAGTATTTTGCTCACCTGTGTCCTCAGCAGCTAGCACAGACCCTGGCACATAGTGGGCCCTCAATAAAATGTCATGGCATCAATTTAGGAGCGCATTTGCCCTCTCAAGGAAAGAGATTGTGTTTCAGGTCACTCTAGTCCCTGGTCCATAACCATTTAGCAAGACAGACAGTATGGAAGGTAGAGATGAGCAAACCACAACATGGAGGCCACTCCAGTCCCCGCACCTGGATTTGACATCTTTAAATGGTTGACAAAATTATATAAACTTCAAAGGCCAGTGGCCATAAGTAAAGTTTTCTTGGGACACAGCCACGCCCTCTCATGCATGATTTGTCTCTGGCTGCCTTTGGGCTACAAAAGCAGAGACAAGTAGTTGCAACAGAGACTGCACAGCCCCCTAAAATATGCACTATGTGACCCTCTCCAGAAAAGGTTTGCCGACCCTGATCTAAAGTGATTCTGTAAGACCGCGGGTGTGTGATGTCGCCATCAGAGGCACGGAAGCCAGAGACGAGGCTCCCACGGCAGCAGGGTGAAAGCCATGCTGTCAGCCTGGCCGCAGCCAAGCATGCGTCTCCAGCCTCTGTTCCGACTTCATCAGACAAAATCATCTTGCAAAAATTCAGAGTGGAAAAAAGCCAATGCTCCTAGAAGTTTTCCCCTTTAATTATTCAAACTATAGCTTCATTTTTGAGAGGAATCAAGTCTATATACTTACTCTTTCCTCAACAAAAGTAATATGTTTTTAGAATAGATGAAAAAAGGCCCTAGCATTGTTTTCATCTTCCTTTCTCCTTCCCTAAGATCCAAAGTCATGCCTGTTGGCAACATATTCAAAATGCTGAAGTTTGGCACTTTTTTGTCCCATCCAAATTAAAATCCTCCAGATTTCTAACTCAGCAACCGCATTCCACCAAATCTGAGTATCACAACACAGCGTTAAACATCTGAGTGCCACGGGACTTGACACCAAGCTTTCCTCGCACATGTAAGGTTTTATTATCACTATTAAGCAATTTCCCATGTAGATTTCCCCTAAAAATAGCATCATCAAAATACTTCACTCTTTGAGTCTAAAGAAAGGAAATGATGACAAAGGCTTGGGCCCACAATCGGGTTTGTGCGCTGACAGGCCCTGCTGCATAAAATCTGGATTCATTTATTTCACGAGCTTCCTTCCTAATTCCTGATATTTGGGCCAAATTACAAAGACACTAGTAATATTTTAAGGCTGAAGCAGGGAGAGAGGAATTCAATATATTCATGCAAGCCTCAGGAAATTGGCTGTGCATGGCCAGATTCCTTAAATCAGGAGGCCAGAGCTTGGTCCAGCTCCAGACAGTCTTCCAGAGGCATTGAGGTTTTATGAAACCTCCTAACCAAGATTTAGCCTCTCAGGGAACCGGAAAGCACCAAGGGCTAGTGTCAGCATCCAAGTCCTGGGCCTCACACCTCCAGGAATCCATCACAAAGAGAAAGACTTAGGGATTAAAGAACTCTGTTCAGTTAATTGCATGAGCGATAATAACTGGCCTTTCTGAAAGACGGAAACAAAGACGATTATGTAGACACCACTGAGATTAAACTCTCTAGACCAGAGACCAAGAGATGAGGATTTGTTCTGCGTCTCTGTTCTCAGGCTGCAATGACTTAGGGCAGTCACCACCCAGACCCTCACACTCCTCATCTGCAAATGGGATAACCACTGCCCCCTTCCTCAGTGATGCTGGGAAGACGAATGAGAAGGGCATGCGGAATACCCCACCCAGTCCCAGCATGTCCTGAATGCTTCCTACATGGTGGTAGTAGGAGTAGGTAATAGTGGAATTAAAAATTATTTGTGCAAATGGAGAATTGAAATGTGAATATGAAAAAAAAAAAGTTAATGCTGAAAAAACCATTGCTGCCACTTTAAAGGAATCGGGATAAACCACCAACTTTTTCATGCACAGCCAGCTCTGTTAGACATTCCCCAGGGAGTCGTGTCATTAGGGGGAGCTCTTCAGCTCCGTAATGGGGTCTCCCATACCCCCCCGGGGGCTGGACCAATGGAATGGCTCCTGACATAAGGCATTTCTCCAACCTTGCAGGCTTCATCTGGACACGGCCCTCTTCTGATTCTACTCCATTTCTGATGGGCTTCCTGGATTCATGTGAGACTTTTCATTCCGCATTCCCAGCACCGTGCCCTTCCAAGCCAGGGGTGGGTCCCACTTACCCTGCTCCATCATCTCCAGCAGCCCCTTCTTGATGAGCTCCTCTCGGCCTTGCCTGCCGGCCATCTTCTTCTCCAGCGCTGCCCAACACACAAACACACAGTGAGTCTTGGGCAAAGGTGTCAATGGGCCCAAGCCACAGCCAATGCCAGGCTCAAGTTTACAGCCCAAAAACAGTGAGCTAGCAGGTGCCTCGGGCTTAGGGGCCTGGTCCACTGGCAAGGCCCAACTTTCTTATGCAGCACTCTGCTAAGCAATGTACATAAACCACAGCTAAAGCGCAGTGCACGCCATGGATATTCTACAGCAGTTGTTTCTGTGATGTATCTGGAAAGCCCCTCCACATATCACGCCCCTAAGTCAGCTCCCACCAGCCATTCCTGTCCTTTACCAAATGCTGCTTAACTTACCAACCAAGGAAAGAGTCCTCCCTCTGCCCCCAACACCTCAGGCTCCTTTCTGTGGTTCCTGTTAGCTTTTGCTAAGTGCCTCCTGGTCCCTGTTAACATCCACTTACAGATGAGATTCTTCTGTGCGGCTCTCCCACCAGAGCTTCTTCCAATAAACACAGGTTAAAAGCTTCCAGTCTACCAGATGGACAGAAAGGGAGGAGGCCAGCCCTCAGTCCCCTTCCACCAAGCCTAATTTGCCACATCTTTGTCAATTCCACCTTCAGAAGAGCCTTTCCTGCCTCCCCTTCCCGGAGCAAAACACTTGAGCGACGCCCCCCGCCTTCTCCCATTCTCCCTCCGCTCGCAGGCAGGCCTCAGGCTGCTCGACAGTCATCATCTTCCTTCCATCAGGAAACCTGTTTGCCTACAGGTGAGCCCCAATTTCCAAATACAAGACTACATAACCACCTCAACCCTTTCTTTGAAAGAGGCACCTTTGCGAGGGCTGTTTCCCCTGCTGTGATGCTTTTCCCTGCCTTTTCCAATGAACCAATTACATCTCAGCTCAATGCAGCTCAATGCAGCATTCACACCTGGGTCTCCTCGGACCACTGGGCCCAAAGCAGTGCTCGCCCTGCTCATTTCCACCCCAGGGCCTGCCCAGTGATCCTGCCACTAAGCCTGGATCACAGAGAGTCCATCAGTGTTCTGTGTGTGGAAGGGGCCCTGCCAGATGCCGGGGAACAGACAGAGTCAGCCCACTTGGCTGAGCTTAATGTCTAGGTGGGGAGGCAGATGACAGACAGGCACTGGCAATGGAATTATTTCACCTGTTCAAAAGTATTTCCTGAGCATCTGCTATGTGCCAAGGGCTGAGCTGGGTGCTGGGGAGTCACGGAGAGCAGAACCCCTGCAGCCTCACGGTCACAGGTGTGGGCTCCACTGGGGAAACAGGCCATGGTGACCAGGTGTTCAATCGATCGAAACCCCTTACACATTTACTGAGCACCTACTGTGTGCCAGGCACCGTGTCAGGCACAGGAGATTCTGCCGTGAGCCAGATAGGCACAGCCTCTGCCTGAGGCCAGCACAGGTGGGAGGACAGATGGCAAGTGTCTAGAAATGGGCGAGGAGGGATAAGTCAAGCCCGGGGCGGGGGACTGGTTGGGGGGAAGTTGTCTGGGGAAACCCATCCCACCCTTGACCTCCGGGGTGACTTCTCTGAGGATATTTACCCTAAAGCCAAAGGATGAAAAGGGAAACCCAAACACAGCAGGGTGGGGACATTTCTGGGCAGAGAAAACAGGATTTCCTTTCTGTGGTCCCAATTTCCAAGCCAATTTCCAGGTGCCAGAATTGTGGATAAAATTGACAAAGTGAATGCTGACCTTGGGAGGTGTCAGCAAGAGGCTGCAACTAGGTTCACAAAGCAGATGAGAAGAACAGAGGTGGAGGCCTCGAGCTCTGAGTGGACCCTGTCCCCAGGCCAACACCAGGTGGTGCTCATGGTGATTAGCCTCAGACATCACAGGTCTTTGCTTGCACTGACTCGAGGACTTCCCAGTGACCCAAAGACGCAGCTGCGAGGATCTACTCTCCCCCTCTCGGGGATGGGGACATCAGTGGTGGTGCAGCTTGTAAAGGTGGTATAGCATGTAAATGGCTGAGTGGATCTGAGCCACCTGGACTGAGAGGCTGCTCCACCCTGTAGCCCGTGAGAGCCATCTTTAGCGTGTTCCCCCAGCCTCGCCTGCCAAAACCACTGTTCACTACATATTTCTCTTTCAATCATCTTTGTATTCACTTCAGCTCATCCTAACCCGTGATGCCCGTGAAATCAGGAATTTGATATGCTGAAACAAATAACAGCCCCCGCTTTAAGGGAAAACAGTGGTTTGGAATAAGTACACAAAATGCAGCACTGTTCCTCGAATTTCCAAATGCCCGAATGACGGTCCTGAAGGTGGAGATGCTGCAGGTAATAACCTCGAGACCTCCAATGCCCTAGGAGGGTCCCCAGAGCATCTTGCTGGTGAACTCACACAGCACAGCTTGGAGTAGGCCAAAGAACCCAAAGTCCTCAGAAGATAAGCCTTCCAGTCCCACCGCTGGGGGCAGCAGGCCTGGAGAATGTCACAGACCCACCTGAGGTCACGGAGGTCGCTCTGCTCCAGTCCCCCGGCCTTTCACTGCTGCACAGACAGCCTTCCCCAGCTCAGTGCCTTAGCAAGGGCTGTTCCCACTGCTGCGATGCTTTTCCCTGCCTTTCTCAACGAACCAATGACATCTCAGCTCAATGCAGCCTCCTAATCTGGGTCTTCTGAGACCACTGGGCCCAAAGCAGTGTCCGCCCTGCTCATTTCCACCCCCAGGGCCTGTTCATTGATCCTGCCATTAAGCGTGTGTGTGCAAGGGGCCCTGCCAGGTGCAGGGGAACACATGGACCCCGCCCACCTGGCTGAGCTTAACATCCAGTGAGGGGCCTCATCGGAGTCTGGAATCGACTCGCGTGCTGGTTCACTTGGTGGCTTCCACACATTGTCACTCTGCAGAAAGCTCTGGGTGGGCAGGGCCTGGGCCCCTCCTGTTGGCACTGGGCACACAGGAGGTGCTCAAGATCTGCTGAATGGTGACGCTTGTTCTGTTTTCATTTCAACAAGAATTCATCTATCAACTTCTTGGTAAAAAAATAATAATAATTTTGTAAAGCATGCACAAAAGCGTGAGTGGAGGGCCTGCTGTTGGTGTTGACTGCCGCTCCTGCCATGGGCCTGGGCGCTGTAACACCTGGCCTTCATCTCTACCATCCTCAAAGCCTGAAACCTGTGCCTCTTCAGAGCTGGAAAGGAAATGGGACCCCAGGGACCACCCGAGGCAACAGCCTGAGACGGGCACTCGCCAGGGCTGGTTCCTGAGGCCCAGGACTGATTCTACGTCAGCAACTCCCTCACTCATTGTTTTTAGGTGTCGCTCACAGGTGTGTGGCTTGGAGGCGCGGCCCTGGGGTGGAGATGCGGCCTCCTCCTCCGGGCTCTGCTTCTCAGAACACTGCCATCCACAGAGCCCAGGCTGAGGAGCTACCACACCTGGCTGCCAGGGTCCAAGCCTCAGCCCCGCCATGTGCTGGCTGTGTGACCCTGGGTGAGTGACTTCCCTCTCTGGGCCTGTTCTCCATCCCTACGACGGGGCAGGGTCCTGCGGGAGTGCTGGCCTAGCAGGAGGTTCTGAGGGTTGAGTTGGCTCCTCCATGCCAAATGCTGGAGGCCGTGCTCTGCTGTTATGTGCCTTATGGCTGCTTGTCCCGTCATCACTGCCTGTGTCCACCCTGTCCGTGGTTCAGCCTCATGGCTGCAGTTCCCAGGGTGGATTCTGAGGAGGCAGGGGCAACAGGACCATCCATCACAATCCCACTTCCCACAGAGCCAGGGCTGGCAGGGTGTGAGGGTGCAGCGGGAGGTGAGTGGAGGAACGTTCTGGATGCTTTGGTGGGAGGGTGTAGGGAAGGCATGCTGAGAGAGCTTAGCAGCTGGGGAGCAGCCTCTGTCTTTCAGGAAGAAGAGAGGCCCAGAGGTAACAAAGCCAAACCCAGGGCCTCGACCCTATGAGTCACCCAGGGGGCTCTTGGCCAATGAAACCCGCATCTGTGGGGGCAGGCCCCAGGCCCCAGCATCCTCCGAGTGAGACTGCAGGTACGGGAGGTGAGGTGATGCGGGAGTCGCGTGGGCCGGGGGCTCACCACCCAAGTGAAGCCAGCAAGTGAGACCTTGCTCCAAAGCCAGTGTCTTGGCCCAGCCCGGCCCTAAATGAGTCAGAGGCTTCGTTTTTAACAAGGTCCCAGTGGACTTGTGGGCACCTTAGGGTCTGGGCAGAGCGTCCCACATGGGGTGCCCAGTGCCGACCCCACCCCAGGGCTTCAGGGAGGCCAGGTGGGCCCTGGAGGGGCCAGCGGGGTAACTTGCATGGATCCTGTGGCCATCGCAGGCCATGAAGCGCAATGTGCCCCTCCTGTGTGGGGGCCGGGAAGTCACAGGTCAGCAGTGGTGGCGGCACCATGACAAGGATGCTGGTCCCAGCCAGAGCCTGCCCGCGCCTGCACCAGGCCCTTACCTGACGTCGTCTGCTTCAGTTTTTCGTTTTTCTTTTTCCTCCATTTCCAGGGTTTGAAGATCCTGCCCAGGGTGGCCAGTTTGCTGTTCCTCCTCACAGGGGGAGTTCGAATCCCTGAGACCAGATATTCAGGACGCGCCGGGGGCGCTTGGTCCATCTCATCTGGAAGATGAAAACCAAGGGGGGACCTCAAGTGACCACCAAACCTATGTGACTCCTGGAGGCCCAAGACGACGACCTCTCTCACCCTCATGGGTCACCAGTGATCCCCCAGAGCCTGGACCCCAGAAGGGTTGTCAAGCAGTGTGCCCACAGTGGCCACGGCCGCTCAGCAGCGTACGCTGAATTTCCCTCTGTGAGACCCTCCCTCCTGTGCCCCACTCATGGCCACCAGAAACCCTCGCCTTCCGCCACGCGAAGCACCACGTGTGAAGACATTCCTAATTCCAGGACGAAACGCTGCCTGCCCCGGACCCTTGCTCATGTTCTGCCCTCCATCCACACTGCTCTCCCTCCCAGCCACTTCTCTGCCTCATAAATTTCAGCTCCTCCATTGAATAGGACTTTGTCCAGAGTCTTTATCTTCCTCTTGTCCCAGACAGGGTCACTCCCTTGTCTTATGCCCATGAAGCTACCTATGTTGGCACCAAGCAGCTGCAAAGGCCTCTGGCTGCCAGCCCTCCACCAGGCTGCCATCGCTCCTGGGGCAGAGGCCAGGCCTGGGGCAGCCTCGGACCCCAGCGCAGAGCCAGGCCAGTGAGATTCTGAGCGAACGGCTGCAGAGTGAGCACGTCTGTGAGCGGCAGAGGAAGCAGTGCTCCTAGGACCCCTTCCTTGTCCATGAAACGGCCATGTTTGTAGACTCTGGGACGCATGAAGATGAATGTCCCAGGAAGCTCATGGCAGTGCTGTTTGTTGTAAAAGAGACTGGTAGCGACCTACATGCCTCTCCACAGGCGACTAGGTAAGTCATCGTCTGTCCTGTCAACGGCCTGTGTGCAGACACAGAAAGAAAAAGTGGATCTCCATGCACGGACAGGAAACTGATCTGAGATAAACAGGCCAAAGAAAACCCCAGCTCACGAATTCACACATACACGCCACCAGTGTGTGAGCAGAGGGGGTATACAGGCGCACACTGGTGTGTGGAGAGAAAATGTCTGTGGGCCCCCCAAAGAAACGGGGAACCCTGGGGCTGGGCACAGTGGCTCACGCCTGTAATCCCAGCATTTTGGGAGGCCAAGGCAGGCAGATCACAAAGTCAGGAGTTCGAGACCAGCCTAACCAACATGGTGAAACCCCCATCTCTACTAAAAACACAAAAATTAGCCGAGTATGGTGGCAGGTGCCTGATATTCCAGCTACTCTGGAGGCTGAGATAGGAGAATCATCTGAACCTGGGAGGCAGAGGTTGCAGTGAGCCAAGATCACACCATTGCACTCCGGCTGTTGGCAGGCAGGAGAGAGAGGGAGATGTGCTTCACAGGCTGTTTTTGTGTCCCTTAGTAAGAAAGATTAGTTCGAATGAAACAAAATGCAACTAACAAAATGGTAAAGTTAGAGGAGCTCACGAAGTAAGCCTGCGTCACCTCCATCCCACGGTCACAATGTAGACCAGAGTTCAGGCTGTCACCCAGGCAGGACTGAGAATAAATGAGCACATTGCCCCAGGTGCCTCCTGGAACAGGGAAGGGACATTTCTTCTGGCAGCAACAAGGACCTGAGTCCCATCCAGACTCCGATTTAACCTCTCAGTGTCACCGGGGAGGAAGATCGCAGACCCGCAGGGTGCTCCCCAGCACGGCTACTGCCACAGGAGCCCAGACCTCTGCCAGGACCCCTCGCCCTGCGAGTATACACACTCCCCCACCGTCGGCTCAGCCTCCCATGGTCAGCGTGCGGTCAGTTCCATAGCCAGCAGGTGAATTTGCCTTGTTGCCTATAGAAGGGGCCAGGAGCCCTGAGCTGATGCAGACCTCAGAGCCCCAGGAAGCATGGACATGCTGGGAGAAGGACTGGAGGGCGTGGCTAACACAAGGGCTCACCTGAGGAAGGAGGTCACCTTTGTCAGAGAGGACAGGGAGGGAGGCCACCAGTGTTGAGAGGGGAAGGGGCATCACCAGTGTCCAAGGGGCTGGGGGTTATAATGGGCCAGGCCCCTCAGACCCAGGGAAGGGTCACACTCCCACCTTTCCCACCTAAGGCACCCCATGCATGCCACCAGCTGTCCCAAGGAGGCCCAGGATGGTCTGCTCTGAATCCAGGCTCTGCAGCGCTCAGCCTGGACAAGAGTCATATGAGTCAGCACCCAAGGGCCCAAGGCCCCACATGGCAGTGACCTCTGTGCCCCCAGTGACAGGCGGCCTGCCTGGCAGCCTCTAGAGCTTCCACAGGGTCTGGCTTCCAAAGGGCTCCACCTGTCTCTAGCCCAGGGCCTTTGAGTAAGCCACCCAGCCCCTTGGAGCCTCGGTTTCCACATCTGTTAAAAAAAAAAAAAAAAAGATACCATGATAATCATCCCTGATAGGTAAGGTTGAGAGGAGGACTCAATGTGGTCATAAATTCTGGAAAGGCCAGTGCAGTGACTCATACCTGTAATTGTAACGCTTTGGGATGCCAAGGCTAGAGGATCACTTGATCCCAAGAGTTTGAGACCAGCCTGGGCAACATAGAGAGACTCCACCTCTACAAAAAACTATGCTTGAAAATTACCCAGGCATGGTGGTGCATGCTACTTAAGAGTCTGAGACAGGAGGATCACTTGAGCCTAGGAGGTCAAGACTGCAGTGAGCTATGATTTGCAACTGTACTCCAGCCTGGGCTACAGAGAACGACCCTGTCTCTAAAAATAATTAAAATGGAAAGCAATCTGGAAACAAAGATAAATATCCACAATACACAGTTTATTAATCGTTTATGTTATCATCCATGTAAAATAATATTATCTGTGTGTCTAGACTTTATAGTCACTGATTAACATACCATGCCAGTGTGGGTAACTTTTGGTAAAAATTTCTATTATAATAATTTCTATTATATAAGCAATAGAATAATTATGATGGGGTAAACGTTGGTCACTGCCTGTGCAGGGCCAGGAACTATCCTAAGGCATTGTCCTATTTTACCTTCACAATAAATCTATGAGCTAGAGATCATTCAGTTTTATATCCATTTTACAGATGAATAAACTGAGGATCAAAGCCCTGAGCCATTTTGTTGTTGGTCTCAGAGCTGGGAAATGCTGTGGCAGGGCAGGACCTTGAGCACCCTGACTCCAGAGACCCCTCTCACCTTCCAAAGCTGCATCGAGGGGACCCAAAGCAGAACATGGAAGGATGGGACACCAAAACAAGAGGATAAACCAGGCCTGCCCCAGGTGGGTTGGGGCACAAGGCCATTGTCTCCAGGCATTACTAATAGAGTGCTGAGATGGTTAGGCTTTGTGTCCCCACCCAAATCTCATCTTGAATTATAATCCCCATAATCCCCATGTGTCAAGAGAAAGACCAGGTGGAGGTGATTGGATCAGGGAGGTGGTTTCCCCCATGCTGTCCTCGTGATGTTGAGTGAGTTCTCATGAGGCTCCCTTCGCCCTGCACTTCTCCTTCCTGCTGCCTTGTGAAGAAGGTGCCTTGCTTCCCCTTCACCTTCTGCCATGATTGTAAGTTTCCTGAGGCTTCCCCAACCATGCTGAACTGTGAGTCAATTAAACTTCTTTCCTTTATAAATCATCCAGTCTTGGGCAGTTCTTTTTTGTTTTATTGGGAGCACTTCTTTGTAGCAGTATGAAAATGGACTAACACAGTGTTAACTGTGCTAGGTGCTGTGTCCACAGATGCTCCACAAAGCAGCCCCATGGGGAAAGACAAGCCCAGGAATGTCTTGTTTGACATTCTGGGCTCTGCAAACCATTAAGGAAGCTACAGCAATGGCATCCTCCACCATGATTTTGGGGTGACCCCAGCACTTCTTGCTGTGGCTCTGTGACTGCTTCCACTGGTGGAAGGTGGGCAGGAGGGGCAGTGGCTTCTCCTCCCTACCACCATCACTGCCAGGACCACTGTCACCATCTTCACTATTTTAATCAGCTGCCTCCCCCTACTTCTGCCCTAGCAGCTGGAGCAGGTTCTGGGGTTCCCACCCCGTCTCTGACACACAGTGGTCCTCACAGCAGAGCTGAGGGCTGGGGAGGGAGCACTTTGGCCCCAGAGAAGACTGCACTCCTCCCTCCCTTTAAGAATTCACTCACTCACTCACTCATTCATTCACTTACTCACTCACCCACTCATTCACTTACTCGCTCACTCATTTACTCATTCACTCACGCACTCACTCATTCACTCACTCACTCATTCACTCACTCATTCACTCACTCACTCATTCACTCATTCACTCACTCACTCATTCACTCACTCATTCACTTACTCACCCACTCATTCACTCACTCACTCATTCATTCATTCACTCACTCACTTACTCATTCACTCACTCATTCACTCACTCATTCACTCATTCACTCACTCACTCATTTACTCACTCACTCACTCACTCGAACTTTCAACAAATACATACTGACACCAACCATGTGCCATGTATCCTAACAGGCACAGGATGTGCAGAGGTGAACAAAAGAGACAATGCCTGCCTTTGTGGGGCTGTACTCGCCTGTGGGAGATGAACAATGAATAAAGGTGTGAATTTAAACAGTCCTGGCTCACCCCATGTGGGATAGCACTCATCACTATTTCTTGCCTTACACTTTATTTTCTCATCACAGGTATCAGCTGGTGTGCATGCACACACACACACACGCACACATACAGACACACATGCACACACACACACGCACATGCACGCACACATTTATTTGTTTGCCTGTTTGTAGTTGTCTCCACTCCTCCTGCCCATGCCCTGAGCTGAAGCTCCTGACTGCAGGCCCTGAATGGATGTTTGCAGCTGTATCTCCAGTGCCAACAACAGCTCAGGCATGTGCCAGGGGGACATAGAGAGCCCTGAACCAGGATCCCTACAGACGCAAGGAAGGACAGGACCCAGGGCCTACTCGGGGAGCCTCGAGGGCAGGTGCCGACTGACGGACTGTGACAGGGAGTGCTCCCGAGGGCCGCCCCAGTGGGGAACAGGACGGGCGCTGTGATGGGAAA